TGGTTATGTTCCATGTCAAAATTTGCCCCGCTCCATTACAGGTCGAAACCAAAACAACAGAGTACTGCGGGATCTCCAAGAAGTCCATCGGCCAATCTCTTTTTCTAGAAACCCAAAACCACCTCAAGTCCCTGCCGTTCAGGGACATGGCATTGTTATCCTCATCGCCGTTCTCATCGCCAGTAACACCGTCACCATTGCTGGCTCGAAGTGGTGGAGACCATTCAACAACACTGCACCGATCCCTCATGGCCAAACCCAGGCAGGATGCTGTTTCCGAAGCTCCTGTCCCTGTCATCGTTTCTCAACAAAGTAACAAGGAGAACTCCAGTCCAGCTGCATCACTTGATAATCAGGAACCACATCCAGCAGTAACCAAGACGGTCAAAAAATACGGTGAGATTAACTGTATATTCATTCGTCTCCAATATCAAATGCTGTTGTTTACTAACGACAGCTATTTGCATCCTGTCAACTGTCCTTTTATAAAGTCAAGCATGTTGCCTCTAGATATATGCAATCACAATCTCATGCCCAATCGCAGCAGCATCACTCAAGGGATCCCACTGCTATGTCGGCAAATTCTGCCAGAAAAAACAATGCCATGGCCGCCAACGGAAACCATGCCAATGCAAATAGTGTCAATCCGTCAAATCCGCTCACTCGAACAGTTAAAAGAACAGCCCCGTCAACGCAGCCTTTATCAGGAGTTCAGAGGCAATCTGCACATCAACAGCTCACACAGCATCATCAACAACATCAACCGCAGGTCCATCATCAGCAAACACAGCAACACCAGCAACATCAAGCATCCCATCAACCGTCGCAGCAATCCTATTCACAACAACACTCGAAAACATTAAAGACACCAGGGCTCACTCGACCAACTTCTTCGTCTCATTCACAATCAGCGGGTTCAAATGCTGCGCGGATGGGTACATCAATTGCAGAATGCGGGAGGGGAGGATCTTTACGGAAAAGGGTACCTGATGACAAGGGAGGATCAGGAGGGAACAGTAATACTGGCAGGTCTCCTCACAATAGTTCTTGCTTTGATGATAGTCAAGGTAGTACTGGCGGAGTTCATTTGACCGGAAAGCACGTCGAATTTGCGCAGGATCAACAGTTGAGAATGGCTGAAACGGAACAACATCAACAGCAATCTCATGAATCAAATTTACATTCCACCCGCGTTCCACCAGCCATTCCATCCGCCTCTTCATCTTCATTCCCACAACCATTGCTGGGACAATTTGCAGAACCAAGAAACCATCCTTCTGTTGAAATGTCACATCAAATTCAACAACAACATCAACGGCCTCCATTGCATGTAGCTCCCATGGGTGCCAAAACAGCAGCTCAACATATTCCACCTGCAAAGGTTGATTCAATTGCTGATACGACGCGAAAAGCTCCAAATACAGCAAGGGAGGTTTCTTTGGAAGATCAGGTCATGATGCTAAAGGGGAGGTTGATACAGTGGCTTTTTGTTTGTGCACGAGCTTCCCATGCGTTCACGATACAGAAGAAAAGTGTTGAGGTTAGAATTTCGGTTTTTTCTTTGATTCATATGATATATTGGGATGTTATATGGTTACGGCGTTTATTTCGGGAATTTGTGTTAACATCGTGTCAATTGAAATAGGCTCAAATTTACAGAGCATGGTGTGTGCTGTCCACAAAAAAAGAAGAGCTGCATTCACTCGAACGGGAAAACAAGACGCGGCAATACTTGGAACGACAACTAAATGAGCTCATGCAGGAGGTTGGTTGGCGATTTTAAATATATATTTGTCAATTCATTGTCTTTTTCCTTTGCCTTTTCTTTTATTGATTATCCGCCTCTTACCGTGGTTGTTTCTTCCTCAGGAGCAAACTCTAATAAGACTGCGAGCTGCACAGAGTAAACTGGATCGCTACTATGGTTCTTTGGCTGGACTAGTAAAGCTTGCGTTGTGGACGGTTAAATTAAATGGTGTTGCTGTTCAGGATGCTGGTGAGAATTTGCACGATATTTACCAAAATTTAATGAAGCATGTGTTGACACATCCTTGTTTTCTTTCCACTATTTCAGATCGATTTGCAGAATCTGTTGGCGACGTTGCCAGGCAGCTGGCATCGTTCTTTACAACGACCCAGGATTTGCTCGTGAATGTGAGCATTCTTTGATATTATTGGTGCACTTTTCACCACTTTTTAGTAACACTGATGCCTGTGTTCTTCTTCTATCTCTTTCTCTTTTTGTGAAAATACAGATTGAAAAGCTGGGACAACTTTCGACATCGTCTGTCGAGACTCTCGCTAGTGGGAATCGGGAACTCGTTGAATGCATTAAACTTTCGCGTACAATATCAGCATTAGAGCTTTCACATCGGAGTTTGGAGGCGGAGAAAGTTCAAGTTTCTCGGGGGTCTCTTTTGGAATCTCTATAGCAGCTTTTTTGGACAACAAGCATGTTTCTAGTTGATTAGCTTTGCCTTTTTTTATCTCGTTTGTTTTCTCTCTTTTCTTTTGTTTTTTGTTCTATCTCTACTCTCTCCTTGTTCTCTTTTGTGGCCTTTCCTTCTGGGGGTG